TGTGTATATTTATTCTACTATATTCTACTAAATGATTTACTTGAAAAATGAATAATCAGAGAACATTTGAATATCTCTTTTACGAATTTAAAAGTGATACATGTGTGCGCACGCGCGCATAATTTACATCAAGTGTGTATACATGCAAGTGTGAATGTCTCAAAATAAAACTTGTAGATATAAATACACATGTAAGCACGTGCAACTAACGATAGATTAAAAAAAAATGTTGGAAAGTAAATGAAACTTATTGTCAAAATTACTTACTTATGAATATCATTGTTGCTTAAATATAATTTTTGTAATTGTGGTGTCTTATCAAATCCTAGTAATCTTTTTAATTTATTCCGGCGCAAATTCAACTCTTTTAATGAAATTAAACCTTGAAAATCATTGCACCCTACAGTTTTGATATTATTCCCTGCCAAGTTTAATACTTTTAACGACGACAAGTTCTCTAAGCCCGTAATTTGCTGGATTTGATTGCCATGCAAATCCAAAACTTCCAATTTCAAAAGTTGTTTTAAACCTTCAATTTTTCTTATTCTATTTTTCCCTAATAAAAGTACTCCTAGATTTTCTAAAAAATCAAAATCACATACTTTTTCTATTTGATTATCGTACAAATCAAGAAATACAAGTTTTGTTAATTGAAAAAAGTTGGAACTCTCGATCTTGGTTAGCAGATTATGCTGAAGAGACATTAATCGTAATTTGGACTCTCCAATGACATTAGGAAACGTTGTCAGACCTCGTCTATCAAGGCATATTCTGTCAGGGTTCTTTTCTCGTTCGGCAGGAGTTCTCGATGCCACGATTGTTCTCGTTTCTCCTGTCCATTGTAACGTAACCACATTGCATCCTTCAGTTTCTGCATTTTCAATTTCAAATTGGGTTCCAGTGCAACTACCAATATATACAACAAAATCAATGATTTCTAATGTTTTAAGAATTGTCGAAGAAATGATTGGTAATTGGAATAAAACTGACCAAATTTTGCGAATTGGCAAAGCTCTAAAGCAATTACCTAAATGAATTGTAACAACGCTTTGACAACTTTGGAGGTACCGGCGCACCAGGCAATATTGGTAAAGCAGCTGCTATAGTCAAAAATTGATTCTCCTCTGGAATACTACCTCGAGCAGTTGATTTATTTTTCGTATCAAATAATACTTTTCTCGTCTGCAAAAACATGGCCAATAGGCGATTAAGTATACATTTATATATAACATTACCATAAAAATGGAAAGGTTAGAGAGTGCAGAGGCTTTACTGTATGTATATTCCGAATTCTACTCTATCGCTACTCTACAATCAAAGGATAATATTAAAATTTTGTCAGAATCACATTAGGCTCTCTACACTTAATCATTTCAGACGCGTTATTCATTTATTTAAATAGATAACACTTGGAATTTCACACATTTTAAAATCACACGACTCTTACCCGCGTCGAAGTATCGTTGCTCAATGGCATTACATCGCATTACATGGCATTATATAATCAAACGGAATGAACCCGCGCGTATTTCACACATTTAGCAGCGTTTCACATCTTCGCAATACTTGAAGAATTGTCGAATATTAATCGCGAATCTTATAATTAACTCAAGTTATGACAAACAGGTGATACTTTTGCTTTACGCGTTGTGTTACGTGTCCTTGTCATCAGTCTAGAAGTGCGTTCCGTATCGCGCATGATGTGCATGATGCATCCATTGTCCTTGTTTAACATTTGGTGAGCAACGAGGATAAATGATGCATTATGCGCATCATGCGAGAAACGGAACGCACCCTAGGGATGTTCGATACTGTATCGATTTTTCGA